TCCTGCGCCATCTCTCTTTCCGCTCCTCGGGCCACCGTGTCCCATCGCACCACATCGCCCCACCACTTTTGATGCCTTCCCCTTGATCTATTTCCTTCCACTTGCATCACTTGCACCTTCTGACCCACAGCCTTTTCCTGTTGTCTCAACATGACCACAGCACAGCCTTTTCTCTCTCATCTTCTCTGCGATTTCTACCACTTCATTTCTCACGCCCCTGTCCTTCCTTGTTCAACCCAACATCCACCGCAACATCCTCATCTCTGCGACTGCCGTAGCTTGGTCCTCCCTCGTTCTTGTGCACCAGCCCTCAGCCCCATACAACAGCACCAGCCTCACCCTTCACCCAAACTGGGACCCTCTTAGAACACACCGCACCAGGCCTCTCTCGCCATTTGAGCCATCCAGCCCTTGTTCTTATTCTCAACTCTCCTTCCAGTGATCCATCGGAACCACACCGTTGCACCCAGGAGCTTATTCCTCTTCATTAACTGGTCACTTCCAATTTACAATCCTCCTTTTGCATTATTTACTTTGCAATTTGCCACCGTGTACTCTGTCTTTGTCCAACTGATCCTCAACCCATTCCCTTCAATATTTTGTAACCATATCTTCAAATCATCTTCCACTATCCCCCTGCTTTCACCGCATAGCACAATATTGTCTGCAAACAGCATCCACCAGGGAGCTTCCTCTGAATATCTGCGTGCCCAACATGCACTACACAGTCCTCCCTAACTCATTCTTCGACGTGGGGAGCTGTCGACGGTGGGAGTGGGCCTGTCGTTTTCTCGCAGCGAGCCGGAACAGCTCCTCTCCTCTGTCAGCCTGGGTCTCTGGGAGGTCCGGACCGTGTACCCAATGCAGCCATTGAAGCTGCATAAGCCACAGTCATGAACCTCGGCCATTTCCCCTCGCCATCATGAGGCAGGATTGATGCCAACCCCCAGCTCCAAGCATTGCTGAAAATCTCACTTGCAACTTTCATCAGCCAACCAAGACCAGGCTATTGTGATGCATCACGCATGCGACACATCACGCACGCAACACACCACTCTCTCCACGACACCCACAGACAGCTCGCACGTCGTGCAGGCAAGCACGCACGCTCACCTGCGTCAACTCTTGTATCGTGTTCATCATGTGGTCCTTGTTCACTCCGGCCACCACTGCTCGAAGCTTCTCAAAGTCCGGCTGGTTGTTGTTGCCGGCCGCCACCGCCACCGCCGCCGCCGCCACCACCACCCATACTGCTCATACTGCTCATACTGCTCATAGTGCCCATACCGCACATGCCGCCCATGCTGGCCATGCCGGCCATGTTGGCAATGTTGGCCATACTGGCCATGTTGCCCATCCCGCCCATGCCGCCCATGCCGCCGTGACCGAACATGGCCGCGAACGGGAAGGGGTTGCCCATTCCTGTTCCTCCTCCGCCTCCACCCATGTGGCCGGTGGGCAGCGCCTGCTGGTTGGCGAGCTGGATGGCGAGCGCCGCCAGGGGGATCGGCGTGGGAGGGGAATTGGGCGACGGCTGGTACGGCTGCTGAGGTGGCGGCGGAGGCGGCGGCGGCTGGTTCATGATGAGCGGCAAGAGCGCCGCGGCCGGTCCGATGGAGTTCATGATGCCCACGCTCACCTTGTAGCGTGAAAGGGGGAGGGGGGGGGATAGGACGGGCAGATTCACGAGATTTATTTGAGTTAATTTCCCCCCACGGCACGCGATTAAGAATTCATTCGGATCTCTCGAAGGGCGACCCCCGTCTTGTTTGAGAACGGCCCACGGAAGCGAAAGTCACAGAGCTACCTCCGAGACCCCGTCAAGTGTCCTCTGGTCTAGACAGCGATAGGAGAGGGAGGGGGGGGCTGCATTTCCCCCCTGCTCGCTCTTTCAAACGAGAGTACCGTTTGTCTCATGAAAGTCAAGCCGATATTTTAAAGTCTTAAAAGAGGTGGGGGAATTCGGCCAAACTAAGTGCACAACTGCGGGCCAGGCCATGCTTCCCTCGCCACTGCCCCCGCACATAAACGTAACACGGCACCAGGGCCAGCGCGCCTCCAAGCGTCACTCCTCTTTCCCACCGTTCCTGGCCCCGACGACTTTCCCACCCGCAACTCTCACCGCTGCGGCACCACTGGGGCAATAGCGGCGACGTGGCTTTGCTCATCCTCACCTTAGGGTTCACCACCGTCGAATTGGCCCGAGCAATCTCCAACAGCTGAGCTTTGTCTGCAGACACCCACACACAAATACACGACCACTTTAACTTTATGGTATTATTACACTTGTTTACCCAGGAAACCACCACAAAATCACAACTCTTTTACAGGACGGTCCGGCCAAGTTTGCGAAGTAACGAGCCAAAGTTGCCACGCGCGATCCCAAATTAGTAATTGCTGGTAATTTTTCGGCATTGTGACGTTTGTACCAACACCAGTTACAATTTCGATTTAAAGCTTTCGTGACTGCAGGGATTCATCTTCTTGGTTCTTTCGGTAAAGTCACGTAGAAGGGAAATAATGAAATAATAAAAATAAAATATACTAAAATAATTCTACGTGACTTTACCGAAAGAACCAAGAAGACCATTTACAATGTATGCTTATGCTTCAGCTGCGAGGAGGAATCCAGCATATCTGGAGGGAAACCAATACAGAAAGCTGCCCGAGTAGAACATTTTACCCAGGCCCTTTCTTGGCGCGAGATGGGAGTTACCAGCTGCGTGCGTCACCACCCGTCCGCCCGCCCGCCCGCCCGCCCGCCCAGGAATGCAATACCTTGTAAAGTATTCCCTCGTTATTTGCAAGGGATATGTTCCGGAGATGCTTGTGAATAGCAAATGTTGCGGGATAAATGGTATTGGCCTTCGAAAACCTCAAAAAGATTTTGAATGCATTACGTTAAATATATAAACTATCAAATGCATGACAATTATAAAAATAAATGTCAAAATATGAATATCTCATCACATTATATGTCATCACCATCTCGCATCACATTCTCTCTCATCACTTTCGTTCTCTCTCTCCCGATGCAGCAGTCATGCAGAGTTCCAGATGCGATTCGCGGACCGCTAAATTCGCGGACAGCGAGTTCGTGAATAACGTGGGGATACTGTACAACAGTCAAGAGTCATAAAGGCAGCGATTTCCTGCTCTCATGAGCATCGATGCATTGGGCTCTCATGTCCTGTTCACAGCCCTGCGCAGAGCCAATGGTGGAAGTTCCACAACCCAAGACAACAATTCGGTTCTTTGTAGTATGACTAAAGCATGATGCGTATGCGTGCGTGGAACCTGTAACTCTTTCCAACAAGCATTGGTTTTAGATTGGCTCGGCTGGCTAACGTACTGTGCGAAAGAAGTTGGACATACATACGTCCAATAAATCGGTGGTGACGAAGCATTGTAAGTCACACGAGATGTTGTCCCGCGTAATAATGTCATCTTCCTGGCCGACAAGCGCCGTTTCAAGGAAGCAAGACGCAGATTTACAACTGCCGCACGAACCCGCGTCGTTTGGACGATGAAACAAAATGGCACAACACCAGGGATGACCACCCCCCACCCCAACTCACCCTCCTCGGAGAGGCGCAGCGGCGACAGGCTGGGCTCCCCTCCTCCTCATCGGCGACCTCCGCCGTCGCATCCTGAAGGGGCTCACCCGAAACCCGCGCCGCGCCGGGCCTCGCGACCTCGACCGCGACTTGCGGCGCCCCTCCTGCGCCTTCTCCTCTCCCGCCGCCTTCTTCTCGGCGTCGCCGCCGGCGCCGGCACCGGCACCGCCGGCGTCGGTGGCGGCGGCCGCCTCCGTTGCCTTGCCGTCGCCCGCCTCTTTGTCGGACTTGTCACGCGAGCGCCGCCTTTTGCCCCCGGCGGCGTCGTCGTGCGACGCTCGCTTTGCCCCGCGGGAGCGCGAGCGCGCGGCGCGTCGCGTCCCTTCGCGGGGGGAGCGGGAGCGGCCCAGGCGCCGGCGTGCGATCGCCCCCCTCGAGCGCGAGCGAGACCTCCGGCGGAGACCCCGGGACCGCGATCGCGACCTCCGCTTGGCGTCGCGCGACCGGGACGCAGACCTCCGCTTGGCGTCCCGCGATCGGGACACAGACCTCCGCTTGGCGTCCCGTGACCGGGACACAGACCTCCGCTTGGCGTCGCGCGACCGCGACGCCGACCGCTTCTTCACCTCCCTCGATCGGGATCGAGATTTCCTCTTGGTTTCCCGGGATCTGGATCGGGATTTCTTCTTCACGTCACGAGAACGGGACACCGATACCCTCTTGGCTTCCCGGGATCGGGAGCGGGATTTGCGCTTGGTCTCCCGGGATCGGGATGCCGACCTCCTCTTGGCATCTCGCGTTCGAGACGCCGACCTCCTCTTGGCCTCCCGGGAGCGCGACCTCCGCCTCGCGTCCCGCGGCCGAGCGGCTGCCGCATCCTTGCGATCCCGCGAGCGCGAGCGGCTCCTGCGCTTCTTTTCAGCCGACTCCCTCCTCTTGCGGTCGCGGGAACGAGAGCGGCCCTTCGTGGCGTCGCTCCGATCGCCGGCACGGGCGGAGTCCGCCGGCGTCCTGTGCCTCGAGTCCGAGCGCGAACGCTTCCTCTGCACGGCCGCGCCGCGCGGGCTCGGCGACTCCTGACGCCGCTTGGGCGAGCGGCTGCCAGAGCCGGAGTCCCTCTTGCGTTTCTCAGCTTCCTTGCTCGTATCGGCGGCCTCTCCCGGAAGACGATCGTCCGTCGACGCCGTGGTGAGGTCAGACAATTTTGACTCCTCGGTATCGGAAGAATCTTTTGGTTCTTTGCAGACAGATACGGCTTCTGTGGTTTTAATCGGCGAAGTATCTTTAGGTGCTTCATCTTTCGAAAAGGAATCTTCTTCTTTTACGGTGGCATCATTTGACGCGACTCCCGCTGCCTTGTGTGGGTCCAAGGTGTCATCTTTTTCTCCAGCAAGTGGCTTCTTCACATCGTCGTTTCCGACGGAAATCTGAAGCTTCACATCCTCCGCTTTTCCCGCATTTCCTCCGCCATCATTTGTCGAGCCGTCACCGGGTTCCACCTTTATCGCCACATCATTCGCCACATCATTCGCCACAGCCTCCCCTCCACTCGGCCGTTCCACACCAGCTTCCTCCGCTTCCGCCTTTACCACCTTCCCCCCCACTTCAACCACTCCCTCATCAGCGCGTTCATCTTCAATCCCTCCACTTTGAGGCACTCCTTGCCGGGCGAGTGAGAACGAGAGCGAGCCTCGGCGCCCCTTGCAGCGACGTCGCTCTCCTCCGTGGATGCCTTCTTGCCACCGTCCGGCGAGGCGGAGCGGGACCTCCCGCCGCGGCCCGGCGACGCAGACCCGCTTCTCGCCTTCTGCTTGCGATCGCGCGACGCCGATCTCGACTTGAGCACTCGCTTGGCGCGATCGCGCGACGCCGATCTCGACTTGTGTTTACGACCGCGATCGCGCGATGCCGACCTCGATTTCACCGCTCTCTTTGTGCGGTCGCGCGACGCCGATCTCGACCTGTGCCTACGGTTGCGATCGCGAGATGGCGACCTGGACTTAACCCTCTTGTTGCGATCGCGAGATACAGACCTGGATTTAACCCTCTTGCTGCGATCGCGAGATACAGATCTCGACCTGTGTTTACGATTGAAGTCGCGAGACGGCGTCTTGGATTTCGCCCTCCTGTTGCGATCGCGCGACGCAGACCTCGATTTCACTCTCCTGTTGCGATCCCGAGATAATGATCTTGACTTCTGCCTTCGGATGCGATCTCTCGACACCGACCTCGATTTCGCTCTCCTGTTGCGATCTCGCGACAAAGTCCTCGACTTCTGCCTCCGCGTTCGATCCCGCGACACCGACCTGGACTTCCCTCTCCGGCCTCGATCGCGCGACGTCTGCCTCCGGCCACGGTCGCGAGAAGGCGGCAGCAGCGGCGTCGCCGCCCTCGCCCCCCTCGCCCGCCTCCCGGTGGACGGCGTGCGAGACCTCGCCCGCAGGCCCCGATTCCTCGGGGGCGGCGGCGACGGGGAGCGCGAACGGTTCCGCTCGCGCCGGTTCCGCTCGCGAGACGCGGAGCGGCCCCCCCGTCCCCTGCGGAGCCGGTCGCGAGACGCGGAGCGAGACTTGGCGCGGACGTCGCGAGGCCGCTGGGCCGACCGCGAGCGGCTGCGCGGCTTGCGGTTCCTCGAGGCCGACCGCGAGTCCCTCCTCTGCCGGTCCCGCCCCGAGCCCTTCGCCTGCCGCTCCCTCGAGCGGGAGCGCGTGCGGCGGCGCGGGGCCACGGGGCTGGAGCCTCTCCGCCGGCGCTCCCGCGACGGAGAAGGAGACTTCTGTCGCGAGCGGGAGCGCGAGGGGGTCGGCCGCCTCCTGGCGGGGACCTCGGGGGTCGCGCTCCGCTCCCTCGACTTGCGCTCGTCGGAGCCGGATCGCGAGCCGGCCTGCGGACGCCCCCTCGCGCCGCCCTCCTTGGCCGTCGACGGCCGCCCACCTGGCTGCCCTGTGGAATTGATATGCCGCGCAATCACCGAAAGCATCGACACGGCCGGATTTTCACTGTCGTCTGTTATTTCAAAGTCCGAGTCCAGCTCTGAAGATGAACCTGCGTTCTTGACGTTCTTTCCCTTCTTGGTGTCTGCGTCCGACTCATCGTTCTCCGAGCCGCTCTTACTTTTTTCCTCCACGACTCGTTTCGGGCTCCCTCTACTTGCCTCGCCCAACTTTCCCGTAGACTCGGCGCCACCGCCGTCTCCGTTCTTCCTCCCGCCGTTCTCCACACGTCGCACCTCCGACGGATCCACCTCGCGCTCCTTCTCCGGGACTCCCTTGCCGCTCGGGTCCGACGAAGCCGCAGCGCCTGCACCGCCCAGAGACGCTCCTCCCATCTCCTCCTTGCTCCCCGCCACCTTGCCTTTCGCCGCCTCCACCTCCGACGACGCACGGCCGGCGCTCTCCGTCACCTCCTGTCCGGCTCTCACCTCCTCACCTCCGCTGTCGGCGACGGCGCTCGACCGCACCCGGGCCTCCTTTGCTCCTCCTTCCGCGCCGTCCCGGGTCCCGCCGCCGCCGCCTTTCGCGTCGGCCGCCACCGCCTGCAAGCACCCACCGTCACCACCGCCGGCCAGTGAATCTTTCGTCGTAGGCTCCGGTATCTCCGTGGCCTCCCCGCTCGCCTTCCTGCGCCGGCTGCGTCCGCTGCCGCGGTCCTCCTTGTCCGAGTCGGCCTTGCTCTTGGACTTCTTGGAGCGGCTGCTGCCCTTGCGCCGGTGCTTCTTCTTGCGGCTCTTCTTCTTCTTGCGGCTGCGCGGCTCCTCCTCGGTCTCCTCCTCCGCCGAGGAGGAGGAGGAGTCGGCGCCGCTCTCCGCTTTGCGCTTCTCCGCGGAGCCTTTGCCTGCGGAGTCGGGGCCGGGGGGGGGGGGGGAGGCGAGGAGGGGGGGGGCGGGGCAGGGCCGGGGGACAAGGGTGGCTGTCAGTGAGTGCGACGCAGCGCGCGCTCCAAACCGCTAGTGCTTTAGCCCTAGCTTGTGCCGGATTTAATCGTGGCGCCGCCCAATTCTGCCCATCTCGCTACAGAAAGTGCCGTTTGCCCGATCTGTCAACTATGGCATCTATAAAACGGCCTCTGCGTGTGCGTCAGACGCCGAACCCCCCCCCCCCCCCCCCCGTGCTGACCTTAGCGTTGCGGCGTTTCGCTCGGTGACATAACATTTGTACGGCCCTTTGCCAATCCACTGCTGAACGAAAACCTTCACATTCGATGGAATAAACTATTGCGAAATGGCCTTAGTCAGAGGTCGTCCTGCATCTCTTAAGGGTCAATGTCACCCTGCTCAAACCAGCAATGAGGTTGGATCTTAGCTCCAAGCGAGTGGCAGAAAAATTAATGGCAGGCACCAGTCTCTCCTTAGGATACCATTCAAAAGCGGCGCTACTAACGTTATTGTTCTCGGATGAATTTCAGCCATGATGACGACGACGAGCTGAGTAAGAAAAAAAAACCCAAACGAAACTTTAAGCGACGACCTTCCGGTGACGATTCGAGTGCTCTGACCACAGCACCACTCGACCAATAGCAAACCTCCCCCAGTGGACCGGCTTGATGTCATTCACAGAGTACCCGTTACTTTACTCACTGCAGCCCTTTCACAGCAACCCAAGCGGCGCTAGGTTCTCTAAAACAACCCTCCTTACGGGTGCGGATTATAATAAAATGGATGAACAGTAACAAAACTATAAACTATTTTTTATTTTACCTGGTAAGGCCCACGGAACTATTTTGCTCTTTTTCAGACGTGACCAGGCCACAAATGACAGCTCAACGACGTGGCTTATCATGTGGAAATTTATAGCAGCCAAATTTTTAATGTGGGGGGGAAACCGGAGCACCCATAGAAAAATGCACATGACCACGAGGAGACATGCAAACTCCAAGTATACAACAGGCTTCAGGGTTGGGATCGAAACCAGGACATCCTGCATATCAGGCGAGGTAGTTAACGTATCCTAGCCACCGTGGCGCCCAAAAATCAACTCACAAAAAAAAAGCGACTGGGCTCCATGCAGGGTCGGGAGGAAAGCTTCGAGGCTAAATGACGTCAGGAGTTCTGAATGTCACTTGCTGTGGTCGTGTTCACGTAACGGCAGACGTAACCTCAGACGCCGATGCCTCCCCAACTCTCCGGTCACCACCACTGATGTCTCCATGGATTTTGGGACTTGCGGTTTTCTGCTCGAGGATTCCATCGGCACAAACCTCAGTGAAGTCGTCGGCAAAGACCAGTGCATGGTACAGGGGCCGTTAATAATTGGGACCCAGGGCTCATGAAATGCGAAAGCGACAATAGGCGCTGGTGGACAGAAAGCGTCTATAGGAAGCAGCACAACACCCATCGCATGCAAAAACAAGTTGCAGATGAGGGGAGGTTAGGCACTGGGAGAAACTGGACTGGCCGACGAGCTTGTCTCATTGCACACGCCCCTGCCTTAACCGCGGTCGTGGTCAGAACCCTCAACTTACAATCGGAAGGTCGCAAAGTCAAATCGTGGTAAGAGGTCAACCAAAGCTAATCATTAATTCCTCCGCAATTGATGAAAAGCAAAGCACTTTGTAAAGATGACATAAGCAGGCATTCTATGGAGAGGCTGGTCCCCATCATAGTGATGTGGAATGTTTATCACTGGCGCGTGCCATCAGTGGAGATAAGCGCCGCTCCGTGCACGTTTGAGCAGAGAGACTTTAGCTTTTTCTTTACTTTTTGAGAGCAGCAGCAGCATTACCTCTTCCCGGAAATGGGCACACCCAAATAATCACAACAATTGCATTGGCTATTCTCACCCTCTTATCCGAGGCCCATTAATCAAAACAAACGCACCACGGCAATCGAACAACGTAGCGATCACTCATCTTTAACTTCCCATCTCATTAGGATCGTCAATATGACAAACGTAAAATGTAGCTTTGGTCCCACACCGTTCACCACACCAAACCCCAACTCTACTACCCCTAGCCCACAGCACCCCCACCCACCCCCCACCACCCCCAACAGGCAATTCCTACCACACAACCTTGCCCCAACACCCTTCCCCCCCAAACACACCCCCCCAACAGCCGGCTCAGAGCGGCCTCCGGATGCCAGTGGCTGTCATCGCAGCCCCCTCACAGGCCTCCGTCACAGCGCTGGGGATGAAGCCTGGTTTGCCTGCGCGCCTTGACCCACGCACGGACGCACGCACGCACGTACTCCAATATGGTGAGGGTGGTGGGGGAGGGGGATGTGTGATGTGTGTGTGTGAGTGCGCGTACTGACGGAACTTGCAGTGTCATCATCATCATTAGGAAGCCATCTTAAGTCATCGCATACCGGTTAAGAACACCCCCCCGAACAGCATCAGTAACTTTACATTGCAATATCTAAAGATAACATTTTTAATTAAAGAATTAAGAGGGTTTGGGAAAATTGGAAGAAAAAATGTTACAAGTAATTTGCATATATTGCTTGTAAACAAATGTGCCTGCGTCACTTAAGAAATATATATTTTTTAAGTATTAAAAATTTACAACTTTAAATGCCGTGCAACCTAAACTCGTTCAATTAATTTAGATTATCAAGTCATCCCGGGATATAATAAGAATTATAGTAAGTAAATTTCACCCAATAATCATGTCTGAAATGTTATTAACGATTGCACAAGCGACAACCATTTGCATCATCGTTTAGCCAATGGCGGTCAAAAGAAAGTAGAACGTTACGAGTTATAATTGCTTCGGCAGAGGGGCGAACGAAACAAGTGGCCACTACACCGCCATTCAACTCGATGCACAAAAACGAAGCGAAGCAACGGGTAAAACCACACAGACAAACGACGACCACACAAGCAAAAGGAGGAAGGCGGCACACGTGCACACACTCGCACAAACACGCTCGCACGCGCACACACACTCGCACGCACAGAACCCCCCCTCCGCCGTTCGCCCGCCCGCCCGCTCGCGATTCGCGGGGAGGAATCACAATAAGCGTCATTACCAGGACCCGACTCAGACAGAACCAACTGACGGAGCCTGGCCGGACTGCGCAACGCTTTTTTCCGGACATCAATTCCCCGCCGGGCTATTTTTCTGCAGAACTGCACAACGGTGAGCTCGCTGGCGGAATGTACCACTTGAACTCTGTAGGGGTGGGGGGGAGGGTGAGGGCGTTGGTCAAAACGTCGCACTGTGCACCGATCGCCATTTTTCTAATTTGTTTTCTCGATGCTTTTCTCTTGTGTGTCAGCTTTACAGCAAAACCGTCGTCGTAATATAACTCCTGTCGCAACCGCCCCGTTTCAAATACTGGAAGAGGGCAATTCCCATGAAGTGCCGTGAAATGACTGCCAATGTTCCGTCAACGGACAATTAACCACAGCCAAGATTCGCTCGTTTCAAAAGCTGGCGACATTGTTCAGTTGAACAGGTATGCGTTGTAAGTGTGTTTGGCAGCCATCGTAGATGAAATAAAATCATTTTATCTCAAGTTTTGGTCGACAATGAGCCAAAAGTGAGGCCAACGCATTTGTGTCCACGCAATTAAGCGGAACAGCGGAACAAACCTGGGGGTTCTGTTTTACACCCAACCAGAACTTTGTTATGATCAATCGTCTTTGAACGGAACAAATTGTATTTCCTTTTATTCTCAGTAAAAAACAGACCCTTTTCTCTCAGCTTCACTGAGGTGGGTGGGGGCGAATACAAAATTGTACGGAACAGAACGAGTCATAACGCCGGGCAGGAGGGCAACAGGAGTTTTACTTTGGACGCGGCAAGCACTAGCGACCTCTGCGTTAGTAAACCGACAATGCCTGCCCCATGCCCATGCCCAAGGTGAGATTCCACGCTCACCTGCGGCTACCGACACCTCTGTTGCCGGCACAGCAGTTGTGGCAGCTGCAACTTTGCCGCTGCTACCACCACCACCTCCGCCGCCACTCTCCCCTGCAGCCTCCGTGTCGCCGTTAACATCCTCGCCTTCCCTGGAGCTGTCGGGGGGAACAAATATTGGGGGAACATGCACACACGCGCGCACACACACACAACGGGAGTTATGGTCAGTTTGAACAGAACAAGGAACGGTCGCGATTAAACTTTGTTGGCCGTGGCTACAGACTCGGCCCATCACCATCATTCCTCCAAGGTGGATAAAATATGTTATCACTTCATAGGTAGCGTTACCTTCATTTTTTAACCTGTTTATTGTGTACATTTTTAGTTTTTACTTATATTTTAACCAGATTGCACGATAGGCGTCATATTCATGAGATGAATTAATTTGTATCTTCAACCCTAACAATTCATTAAAAAGGACCCATATCACAGGACTACCTCAGATGTCTACGAGTAACCTCTGATCCATATTAGAAGTCAGCGCTCTCTGCCACTATATTTGTAATTTGTAGCACATCAGTAAAACCAAAATGTAGAATTCTCAGAGCCGTCATTAAACCTACCTAAATGTAAGACGTTAAGTGGTTGCGGGGCGCATTGTTTTTTTTTGTTCATCCACGCTGGTACAGTAAAAGTGTATTTAGTTTTTTAAGTGTCAAACCAAACACTTACTCCATAAACAAGTCATACTAAAACTATAGACGACCTTCAGAATAACACCCACAAGTATTATTGAGAAATATTTTGACAGGAAGTTGCCTAAATTGTGGAACTGCCAACTGTGACAGTGGGTGACAAAGAAGTGCTGCCCCTTATCGAGTGAAACAGGAGTCACTCAAATGGATCTCGGAGGTAACTCTGTGATATCCAATTCTGCGGGCCGTTCTCCAACACACAGGAGTCATTCACGGCTCTGCGAGAGTTCCGAATGGGTTTTCCATCTCAGGCCATTGCGCAGATAAAACCACCAGGATAACATTGGAGGATAAGGATTTTTTAAAATGTGTATGTGGTAGCATGCAACTTGCAGAAGCTAGACCAGCAGCAGTCACTGTGTATATGAAATCCATTTACCAATATTATTCACAATAACGGTTTTTGGGTAAGATCGCGAAAATATAAATGTGTCGTTAACCCACCGCCACCCGACACAGCCAATCGGTAAGGTTTGTCACGTGAACAAAGTGCCAATTAGTTACTACTCAAACACACCGGTGTGTTGGAGAGTAAACCAGCAACGTTTACAATTTGAGTACTCCGACACAACAAGCGATACAAACATTAAAAGCGTTATCGTTACGTTACATTTTCTAAATTAAACCTAACAAAATATAATTTTAAGTAGAGATGCATTCATTTACCCCGGCCCTTAATTCTATAAATTGATGAGGGGGTAAACAATGGTCAATCAGCAAAAAAAAGCGATGTCAATTTCTAGAATCTACAGCAGTGTAGAATCGCACCTCCCATTAGCACGGTTGGTGACATACGGTGGAAATGCACTTCAACATACATACATTGTGACTATGCAGTGGAGTTAATGCGTAGAATCTGCAGTGGAGTTCATATGTAGAATCTGCAGTGTCGAATATGGAGTAAATGTGTACACTGCGGTGAATCTGCAGACCAAACATTGGGACGAATCTATAGAACCTAAAGTAAAAAAAATGTCTCGCGGCCGTAACAAGCTAGTCTTGCAAATAACCAATTCATACATAATACTTTTTTTTGGGTTAGATGGTGATATGTGTCGTTAAAACCCGCCACAGCCAACTAGTAAGGGTTGTCACGTAAACAGCACGTGGCCAATTCGTCACTAGTACAGCACTAACTTGTATGTTGTAAAGCCAAGCCACAACATTTACAATCTGAGCACGACGTTTCGACAGTAATTACAACCAGCTTCATCAGGCGACAGCCAGATTTGTGCTGTACTCATGACGAATTGTCCATGTTCTGTTTTCGTGAGAACTCTTACTAGTTGGCTGTGTCGGGTGGTGGCGGGTTTTAACGATACATTTATATATTTACGCGCTCCAACCCAAAACACCTCTATTATGGATGATATTGGTCGTGTTAAACTAACCAATTCATTGTCACATCCCTCTTGTAAAAGCCATCTCTACGCACGTGACTGCACTAACAAGTCATCAGTCGCGAGTATTTTAGAATTCGCTAGAAACAAAACCTTTTGGACCTTTCACAAGGCGCAAAAAAAAAGCACGAGGTAAGCAATGAAACTACGACAACAAAGTAACGTTAACTACCACGCTTACAAAATCTATCATAAATTAAAATACAGTTAGTACTCGCGATCGCAATCTTAAAACAATCGTGCGATATTTACAAGTTTACAGTAAATATTGGCACATCAAAGGACAACTTCACATACATTAATTAACGCGGGCGGGGGGCATCAAAAACTAATCAACTGCCTTTAAAAAATAATAATTCAAGAGGTTAATTTAACAAAATTACTCATTTAAAAGCCCACGGGACAGGCCTCAAAAGCCGCCCGTCTTGTACGCACTTAACATTGCAATGGCGGGTTGTCGATCACGAGAAACGACTAAATAAACACATTACACAGCGAACTATACACTTGTGGCTCTCAGCAACGAAGCTAATGACCTCGTCAACATTTGTATCTTTAATTATCCGTGTTCATTTATCCAAACGGATACGGTTTATAATAGAACACATAGGCCTGCAAGCCTACGGTGTCGCCTAGGCCGCCCCAACGGGCTCAAGAGACGCGCGCCTCGGCGACAAACTAGTCAAGACGGGCGTTTCCTCGAGGCCTACCTACGCACCCACCACGCCAGACTCTTCCAAAAAAAAACAATTCCGTCGATTCGGCAATTCGAGTCAAGACATCGCCTTCCCAGGTTTCTCTCGACGCCGCCAAGACGAGCGGAGACCGCCACGGCGAAAGAATTCCTCCTCAAAGTTACCTGTGCGCACTGGCGCCGTGGGTCGGCTGAATGGCGGCGTCCGCCATCTTCGCCTCCGAGGAGCCGCGAGGGTTGAGAAGAAGCGGCGACTCGCGCCCGCCTCCTCACGACGACTTCGACTTCTTAAACTTGAACACCGCGGTCTCTGTACAACGGTGCGAGCGTGTGTGCGTCGTTGTGTACAAATCGTCGCGTTTTAGCAATTGTCCTGCATTGTTGTTGAGGGTCCGGCCTGAGGCAGGAGACTTGGGCTCAATTATGCAATGCGCAGACAGAGGCGATTACTGAGGGGGAGGGGGGGAGAAGGGGGAGGGTCGCGCTAGTGGCAGAAGTTGGGATTTTCTTTTTTGTGTGTGTTGTGTGTGCTGTGTTTTGTGTATATGTGGTGTGTGTATCTCTTGTCTGTGTGTGTATCTGTGTGTATCTGTGTGTTGGTACAGTAGGGGGCACAGGTGGTGGATCAGCCAGTCATCTCGGTCATCTCGGTCAGTCGACCCGTGGCACCTGCTGGGTCTGCCCCGTGACCTCCTGGTGCACCTAGCCTGGCACAGTAGGGGGCACAGGTGGTGCATCAGCCAGTCATCTCGGTCATCTCGGTGAGTCGACCCGTGGCACCTGGGTCTGCCCCGTGACCTCCTGCCAGCTGGGCGTTCGACACTTCACGTGGTAGCCTCAAGGTGCACATGGCCTGGCACAAGCGTCGTGGTGACGTCACCGCCACTTAGTGGCGAATGGCGGTTGTTGTTGTTGTTATATCTGTGTGTGTATTGTCTGTGTAACTGTGTGTGGAGCGGTAGCGTACCTGGTGCGGTGTGTAGTAAACATCGACACAGGAGAGACAAAGGCGGCCGGGCGTGGTGCTGGCCACCCACCCACCCCTCGTGGCCGGCCTTCATAGAGCGGCACTTGCCCCGACAGTCTGTTACAGGCTACACGGGGGACCTTTGTTCGATTGCTGCCATTGAATTGCTGAGTTGGAGTGAGCGTATGGTCGTGGACCACGACCTGAGTCCTGTTGTTGTTCAACGCCTTCAGATTATTTAGTGAATGCTGCACGCTGCTGCTGCTGCTTTGGCAGTGGTGCGTAATTACATCACAACATAACCCAAAACACAATGTGTGGCCTTAAAAGGGAAAACTATATATGCCATTGGCAACGTTTCGGGCAATGGACCTTCTATATATGTTGTGTGTGTGTGCTCTGGAACAGGTCCATTGTCTGAAACATCAGCTGTTATATGTTTTAAGGCCACGTGGTGTTTGTTTCTGGTCGATCACAGGAGGTCGTGGGTTCGATCCCGACCCTGACGCCTGCTGCTGTGTATTTAGAGTTTGCGTGTCTCTCTCTCATCATCATCATCATTGTGGCTAGGAGATGTTAACTACCTCGCCTGGTGCACAGGAGGTCGTGGGTTCGATCCCAACCCTGACGCCTGCTGCTGCTGTATATTTGGAGTTTGTGTTTCTCTCTCTCCCCGTGGTCGCGTGGATTTTTCTCCGGGTTATCCCGTCGCCCGCCTCCCCCACATTTAGAATCAACACCCACGCGTTCATAGTGTTTGGCTGCTGCTATGAACGTCCACATGATGATGATAAACAACTCTGTCGAGCTATCATTTGTGGCCAGGTCGCTTCTGAAAAAAAATCTCTGTAGCTCACTGGGGTCTTACCTGGTAAAAATGATTTATAAATAGCCTAGTTTATATTCTTGGTTCACGTAGATAGGTTATTTGAACCTATCTCAGTGACTTTACCGAAAGACCCAAGAATATGAATCCCTGCAGTCACGAAAGCTTTAAGTAAAATTGTATTTTAGTTTATACTGGTAGGAACCTCCTGGTTACACCAGCCCACAGGGGATTATTGTGTCCGTCCATCCGTCGTGAATCCAAAAATGGGAGGGGTGGGGCTGGGTGGAGAGGGGCTGGTCACCCCGTGGTGCCCTTATAAAACTCAACGTTTAACCTACTCACGCCGGCTTGTGCCCGCCCTCACAGTCGGGCATATTTGCGGAATACACCACGCCTTGGCCGTTGACCCTGCAGGCCATTGACCGAGCAACCCGACGTTCCTACCAGCTCCCTCCGCAGGAATGTGTTACTCAACCACGGTGTCCCGTGCAGGTCGGTGAAGTGCAGGAAGGGGCCTAAGACCAGCTGATGTTCATAGCCAAGGCCGGGAATCGAACTCAGGGTCGCTTGCCCAGCTCACATGCCAACGCTGGGCCCGTTCCATATTTTCTTGGTGGGTTCGGAGAGCATTTCCGCAACTCCCCTTGATATGTACTGCCCGGGGACAGGTGCGTGCTTGCGCCTGGCGGGCATCCATCAATCACATCCAAAGCGATATCCAGTCTCGATTAAAACAAACCCTGCTTAGCTTCCGAGATCGGCGGAATTGGCCGACGATTCGTGTAATTATCGGAAGCCGAGCTGCGAGAACGATTTGGCAAAGGTGCAGTCCTGCAACGTCTCGACCACGTCGCCGCTGCATGTGGGACGGGGCCTCCACTCGGGGCCGCTTTAATGTGTTGCCCTTCCCCCGCATCTCTGACGAGGCACGGTTGGCTACGTACGGTGCGAAAAAAGTTCAGCATTCATACATAGTGGTACTTGGCCTCCTCTTCCACGCTCTTTCCAGACGTGTGTGGATGAACAAGCTGGGCGTACTCACACTTGACCACGCCAAACACACACCACGCGCGGCCGTTGTCTGTTGACTGGTGGCAGACAATCGTCACCTATAGCTGGGTGCACGCAGAGATGGGAGCATTTGAGAGATGGTTGCATTTGAGGGAGGGGGCATTTGAGAGATTGGGGACATTTTGAGAGATTGGGGACATTTTGAGAGATGGTTGCATTTGAGAGATTTTGGGCATTTGAGAGGTGGGGGCATTTGAGAGATAGGAACATTTGAGAGATTTTGGGCATTTGAGAGATAGGGGCATTTGAGAGATTTGGGCATTTTAGAGATGGGAACATTTGAGAGATGGGGGCATTTGAGAGATTTGGGCATTTTAGAGATGGGGGCATTTGAGAGATAGGGGCATTTGAGAGATTTGGATATTTGAGAGATTTGGGCATTTGAGAGATAGGGGCATTTGAGAGATGGTGGCATTCGAGAGATGGGGGCATTTGAGAGATAGGAACATTTGAGAGATGGCGACATTTGAGAGATAGGGGCATTTTAGAGATGGGGGCATTTGAGAGATAGGAACATTTGAGAGATGGGGGCATTTGACAGATTGGGGTATTTGAGAGATGGGGGCATTCGAGAATATCGCCCCACCGTTGCAGCTTCCGCAGCGCCGTGAATTAGAATCAAACCAGCGACCTGTGGATTGGGTGTCAGAATCATAATTTTTTAGACTGGAGGAGGAATCCGATGAGCTATGAAGCTCTGTTTTACAGATGTCCCAGTGAGTGTGACAACCGTAACTCCACCTCCGATCAGAACGGTTGGCTACGTCCTGTGTGAAAGAAGTTCAACATACATACCGCACATAGACTAACACTTCCCAGACTCAACACTGCACCTCTGATGAGCACGGTTGGCTACGTACGGTGTGAAAGAAGTTCAAGATATATACAAACATTTTTAATCTGCGTATGTATGTACAACTTCTTTCATTCTAATCAGATGCTTTAGACTGGAGTAATCCGATGAGCCGGGCAGTCTGGGCAATTGGAATCCGAGTTCATGTGGTAGCAGGAACTGCACTTATTTACTTCATCGAATGATGTATTTACATTCAGTGACTCGCTTACCTCTTCCTCGATTTTCCACTTGTACTGTGGTTGTTTTTTTGTATTGTTGTTGTAACTTGGGTGATCCCGTGCCCCCTCCTGGACATCAGTGAAGAAGCTTTTGATCAGACGCGGAATCTTTGTTCGTTTGGGCTGGAGGAATCTCATGAGCCGTGAAGCTCTTTTGAGCCCGATTTGTGCCGAGATGTGGTGCCGGCATTGTGTTGAACTTTGACCTTTTTTTTAACTTCACAGACCCAGGCTGGATTTGGACTTGAGGCCAAGTCGACCTCTGGGAGGCCCAGAAACAGGTCAGATAGCCTCCACTGGCGGTGGCTGGGAACCGAACTCGGGTCACCGGATTTGTGTGGTGGTGTGCTAACCACTATGCCACAACTCAAAGGGAGTACATTTTTGAAGCATTATGATAGCACGAGGCGATGATCACGAAGGAAGGTGCTGCTGGTTCACGCTCTGCAGTGGTTTTAGTCGCGGGATGCTGCTATCGGAAATCCCAACAGCCTAATTAGCAGATTACTTTTCAAATTTGGACCATAACGCCAACACACGTGACGACGATCTTCAAACGACGTCATGGCATCTTTAATGTCCACTGTGAAACAGGCGGTGTGTAGGATTTGATTGGTTAATGCACCACCGCTGTATTAACCAGGGCGGTCTTCTGGCTTCCAACCTCGAACCTCTGCCACAAGCGGCAACCGCTGGGCCGCCCACCGAAGACCACACACATCCGCTGTTGGCCACCACGTGATGGTGACGTCACCACAGCACTCGTGCCAGGCTCGGTGCACCTGCGCGCCGCGTGAAGCGTTGAAGGCCCACTGCTGGCAGGCCACGGGACAGACCCAGCAGGTGACATGAGCTGCCTGGCCGAGATGCCTGGCCGAGATGACTGGCCGATGCACCACCTGTGCTCCTCACGGTCAACTTCGCTGTGTTGGGAGACACCCACCGCTCCGCTCGTTGTTGCGAGCGTCGCTCCTCCACCCTCCGCTATGCCTGCAATTGCCCAGTAGTAGCAGCGGCCTTCACGAGCCTCCTCCTCTACAAAGGCCGATCTTGACACCGCTGGTACCGCTCACCGGCAAGTCCACTCAGCTCCACGTCCTCCCGTACCGCATTAGCTCCGTCTCTTCTCCGGCCCGTGCCGCGCCCGTTTAGCCCCCCCTCTATCCGGCCGAATAGAAGCTGCTTGGGCATGCGGTGGCCGGGCACGCGCGCTCCGTGACACAGCCCAAAAGCACAGAGACACAGACGCAGGCGCGCGTGCAGAGAGCAGCTCGGTGTGAGTTTAATGAAGCACGGCGGAGCCACGGCACACCCCCCGCTGGTGCGCGCAGCGAGTCACGAGCGAGAGCGGCCGGGTCCCTTCAGCCTTCACGACCCCTCCCACGACCCCCCCCCACGACCCCCCCCACGACCCCCCCCCCACGACCCCCCCCCCACGACCCCCCCCCCAGCGACCCCCCCCCCGCGACCCCCCCCCCACGACCCCCCCCCCCCGTG